ACCCCACCTCACTTTTCAATTTTTTTTGGCCTGGCAAGTCTTACACCTCCACCTTGCCCCATTCCCTCCCCCACCCCCAATACCGGCAACATTTAAGCAGATGGAGGAATTCATCCATACAGGCCTTAACTGACTGTCCAAATAATGCAAATAGGTTGGTAATTTCGAACAACACAAATCAAATCATTTTAAAATAAAAATGTGGAATATTTCCTATTATTGGCTTAAACTTACAGATGGTTTTGAAGCGTCGTATGTCTGCTCGCGAGCTCATTATTAATATTTTGTGATCCCACGGTTTCTTATTTTCTACAATAAGACGTGCCATAATCACGAGGGATCATAGAATTATTTATATAAATCCCGAATTTGGGATTGATGTTTCCGGTTCAGAGTATTTCTTTCACAAGAGTCCGAGTTGGTACGGGTCCGAGTTGGAATGGGTCCGAGTTGGTTTGGGTCCGAGTTGACCAGATCCCCTTGCCACACTACTAGTACTAGTACTAGTGTAGTGGGGGCTAAGTCGTGGTTATTTTTGACAACTTTGAAAAAGAACGAACAGAACATCATCTCACCACACACAATATCTCTGTGTGGTTTGTTTGTTTTTTTTTTGTACTTACGATAATGCACTCACTTCTTCAAGGTTCGAAACACAAGGTTGAACAATCATGACAATCGTGCGCACAATTCAGGAAATTGTAATCTCGTGAGCGCGGCCATCTTTGAAACAAATCACAAAGAGCCCGCCCTCTTGCGAGTCCTGACGCATTCGGCAGCACATGCAACAACTTTCGACCAATTAGGGCCTAAGTATAGTAGTAAGTAGGTCTGACATTGAAAGCAAAAAAAGAAGCATCCTCTCACTAACTCTCGTTCATGGGGTATTTTCAAATGATTGAAATGTCCATGTTCTGCAGTAGTGTCTCTAATGTAACTCTGATTTCCGGCGGAAAGAAAAAAGAACTTTTCCTTCATCACCAATCCATATCCCTACAAGTGTGAAGTTAAGTTAAGGCTGCTTATTCCTCGTTTGACGTTCGACATTCAGAGTTGAACAAGTACGGTAGACCTGTTTTGATAATCAACGTTGAATAAGTAACCGCTTGGCCTTCAGGATGCACTAGAGATGGAGTGCAAATGGCACAAAAGACAAACTGTGCCAACTACATGTTACTAACATTGTTCGTGCTTGTTGACCCCGAAAAACACCATGGCCGCCTCGGGTTGATTGAGAACAATGACATCAGATTCATAATCTCCAGGTGGGGCATGGGGTTTGGGTATTTTATTTCGATTTGAGAAAAGTGTGGTGTGATGCTTTCCCACTCTGGTTTGCAAGCGAAGAACTCCTCCGACAAGACTTTTGTCAAAAACTTTCATTTTGACCAGGGACAACTGCCAGTGCCCTGGTTAAAATGGAGGCAATGGGGTCACTTAAGTGTACAAAACCACTCTGAAAAAAAGGAATTTCAGAGCCAGGGCATGGGATTGATGTATATTATTTGGATTGACTGAAATAGATTCGATGAAACAGCAAGTATATTAAACTAAACGTTTTTTCCTCAACTTTAACTATACTGTTGCCTACATTTCAGGTCTTGTTTGACCCCGAAAAACCTGAAACCCAGGGTTGCCTTTGTGGGAGAGAGTTGTGTGTACATACATCATTGTGAAAAGGAACGCATAATGTAAATAAGGTACATGTGTTAAATGGATGTGCATTGTGGCGCATTTTTTATTTTATTTTATTTTATTTTATTTATTTAGTTTTTTTGGGGGGGTCCCTTTTGCATTCTATCATTTGTAGGGGTAAGCACCCTGAATATCGAATAGTTAAGCATCATTTCAAAATTCCTATCAGTTGACTATAGGATAGAGCCATCCTACCGATAAATAAATAATAACAGCGACTTGTGTCGAGTGAATAATGGAAGGGGTGTTGCTCCACTGAAACCCCATAGCCTTGGGAGTAATGCAATGTCAAGGCATTTATCGGTTAGAATTGGCCACTTGAGAACACTTCACCTGATAGCCAACCAGTAATAAATGTATTGGTCAGACCGTTCTGTCTGACACCTACCTAATGAGAATTTTGAAATTGTGCCTTACTTATTCAACACTGGGATTCAAACAATTACTTGTTCAACATTGAATATCAAACAAGGAACTAACTTCACATGGGTTCCATCCCTTCCGTAACTGTGGCTCCCTTTTCCTTACTGCCAGTACCCATGTTATCCATCTACCTTTCCTCCCAACTGCTAATCTGAATCACCTCTGTATACATCACTCTGCACTTCCCCAAGTGCATAGCTTTGGAGATGATGACAAAATGTAGCAAAGTTGGTGGTCAAAAGTAATGTGAACAAATTACGCCAACAATTAAACACAAAAACAGGTCAGTAACAGTGTTGAATTGGGAACTACATTTATTTATGTGATCAGTGTTATTGTGGACAAAAAAGTTGGGGGGTAATCAAATAACCCATCCCCAATTAAAGTGGAGAGGATGATTCCCCCATGGCCCCACCTGTGATCTACACCCTTGCCACTGTGGGGGGACGGGTATACAGACTCACACAGATGGGTGTATTCCCTATCCGCCCTGAGCTGAACTGCACCCCCAATTGGCGAAAAACAGACAAACGGTTACAAGCAAAGATAGTATAGCGAGCAGGTTCTTGCATGCGTTCTCCGTGTACGCAAAGACCGTACAAGCTGGACTAAATTAGTTACGCGTACTCGGTATCAAACGCACACATACCTTGCGCGTCTCATGGCACACCTATGTAGTGAGTACCAAAAAAATACGCCCTCTTTTGTCACGCTCGGAGCGGATAGTTACTCCCCCTGCTTGCCATTATCAGATGATCACAGTAAGTGGAGTCACCAGTTAAATTTCCCATTTTTTCTGGTTAGTGACACCCAAGGAGTTACAAGAGAATGCAAGCTAAACTTAGGAGGAAAACTAAAACATAGGACATCTGAGTAATTCTGAAGTATGTATCCAAGTCACATTTTATTTATTATAAGCATAAAACCCTCCCCAAAAATGAAATTCGACTTTTTGGTACAATGTCCATTGTCTATTCATTCATTACAAAATTGAAGTAACATCTCTGGGTACAGACTTATAATTTTGAAAGCTAAGCCGCTTATGAAAATTCTTAACATGCATATGTGACTGTTAATTAATCAGCACCCTTCAGAGTCCAACTTAACACAATTAGACTTGAAAAAAGGTTGAAGGAATGAAAATTTGAGAAAATTGTCATTGTTTTTTAAAAAAAGAAAATAGCATTAATAATCATACATCATTACTACATCACACGATAACTGTTATTTAAATGGTCAAAGGGCAGAGTGTGTCAAGCTTGTAAAAGTGACCTTGACACTATCCGTATTTGACATGAAATATGATTCACATGCTAATATGCTCAGGCTATGTGGCAGGGAAATATTACTAACTGCATATTTCCAATTCTCTGTTACTCATTCCTGAAAAACCCTCACTTAGGCTCCAAAACCTGTGTTATTGAATTAAAAGAACTTGGCACGAAAGTCAGCTGTGCCAACATCTTAAACGATGAGCTTGAATTTTGTTCAGTGATGTCAGGTCATGTCATGTCAAACTGACTGAAATATCAAGACAAGTTAAAAAATATACCCGACCACATCCAACATCATGAGTTTTAAAGGCCACTTTTTCCCAGAAATTCTGTTTAGCGCGTATAGAAATAAGAAACTGAGCTCTTCATTCAGATGTATCGCCCAGGTTGGCATTCTGGTAAAAATGTTGAGGGTTCCAATTTTAAATGATTCTTTTAAAAGCTTTTAATCAGAAATTACTTGGGCGACTGTAAGATTGGGGTCTCATATGCATGTAACTATCAACATAAGTGCAAATGCAAACTCACTGTAATTGTATCTCTTTTGAAGGTAAAAACAATAGCCTGACCCATGGAACAATAAGAGATATCCCAATCAATCACATTAATAAAAAACAGTGGCAAGAACAACAGAACAGAACAGAACAGAACATATGGCCTTATTTACAACTTGTTTGTATTGCAGACAGAGCTAAAAACTATCATGGCAAATTGTCACTGATTGCATACCAGTGTGCGGTATATTTCTAACTTAAAACTGACAAAGCTTTGGAATCATTTAGTACAAAATATCATTTTACTTTTATTTGAAGAAGCAGTTGATTTAAAATGCAATGATCGATCCACAATATACATCTTTTCAAATCTGTAATTATTTCACTAAGAACTCAAAGGTAAGACTGCTTCAGGGAAAGATCTTTTCTCTAAATGCAAGTGGACTATACATTAGGCTCACTTGACAAGTCTAAAATGTCAGAAAATTGAGAGACCACTCGATCGAAGTGCGTCCCTTCCCAAAAGGTCTTGCCACAGCGAGAACAGCAGAAGAAGTTTTGAACCTTTTGCAAGATTTCTCCTCTGATGTGTTCAACCTGAAGTGGGACGTTATTTCCAACAGTCACCGTGTCAAAGTTAATGGTCTCCTGAAGGTCACAATCAACTGGTGGCTTGTAATGTGGATTGGACCTCCTCAAAATCAGTGAGGTTGCTGGCACTGCCACAAACCCCTCTCCAGTAGATTCTAGGAAGGGATCAAACTGAAAATCAGTCAAATGAGTTGTCTTAGACAGTGTGGATTCAGTTGGAAGGTATGATGGATTGGCAACTTGCGGGACTGACGATGCTCCATCTGACAACATTGACGATACAACCTTTTCATTCACATAGGACTTTGCCTCAAACGTTGGGCGGGCTATGTCATAGTAGTCCTCAGGGCCATGTTCAAAGTCTTCCGAATCAAGGAGTAAACCTCCATCATCATCATCAGAATCAGAATCATACTCATGTAAAGGGCTGGTCAGGTATTTTGCAGATCCACTGTGGGCAATTGATGAGGGAGCCTTAGCTTTAGTATCTTCCTTGCTGGGAGGAATCTCAGCGGCAATACCTTCTGAGCTTACTGGAATCTCAGTGGCAGTGCCTTCCACACCCAGTAACTCCTTCTTTTTCAGCCAAAGCCTCCTCATATCTTCGTTGCTTATCTGGACATAGGCATCATTGTTGCAGGCCTGAAGACAGAAGACACAAACTTCAGTTTTTTAGAAACACTTTCCGATCATTTGTGGAATGCTTGATTAAAGAGCAGGTTTTGAAACGAAGGTCATGCCTAAAATTCCAATGATCACAAATCTACTTTTGGAATACATATACACGGCTGATTTCATTGCATATAATAAGTCACTCAAACCTCATTCCCTTGCTTGCTGAGATTAAATGCCTTTCATCAAATAAGTCCTTTTATTATTTCCATCTTTTCATACCTGGCAGCGGCTGAAGACATCCTCTTGGCTGACTCGTACATTGTAATACTCCAAGACCTGAATGGCCTGCTGTCTGGCGTTGCACTTTGTGTCCACACTCAGGCATCGTCCTTCACCCACCTGAGATTTTAACTTCATGGACACAATTTTTGTAGCAGTTTTAAAAAAAGGAAGAACTGACGTATCAAACAAACCAAAACCCAGGTTTCTCAAAAATTTCTCATGCGAAGTTCTAAGCATGCTCAAAAGGCCACCTTGTGATGGTTACTCTGGTGTTGTAAAACGGCCATGTTGAGTTACGATAAGAATTCCCAAACCTCTGGTCTCACATAAGATCAGAAAGCTAGCTGGTAGCATATCGATATATAACTAGCAAAAATATCTTTATCATATTTGTACAAGATACAGTGTATTAAGGGGTTAGCAACAAGAAATCTTGAACTAAATGGCATTCCATTTTTTCATGTTGAAATTGATGGATGACAGTGTACAGCATGAGATTTACTACAAAACAACGTTTTCTAACTAGTTAGAGTTATAGCTGTTGATGGAATTTTGACATCAGGAAGCTCCACTGGCAAAGGGCAAACCAAGCACCAACAAAAAAAAGTCAAGCTCCATCTAGAAATCAGGTCACAGTTCCTGAATGGACAGTGCATGAATGAGAAATACTTTGGCCACAGTCCACTAGAATAGCATGCGAATCAACTTGAGACAAGGATGAGTTGACTGACTTGTGTTGACTTCAAATGGGGGGGGTGATGGCATGTTAACTTTCCCTTTTTCTGATACTAGCTTCAAAGATTGAGCCAGGGAATCTAGAGGACGTTCTACTCATTGAAGTTTGGAGTAGCAACCCTGCCTGCTTTTGGGGCCTTGCAGTTACCAGACACTCTTACAGTGAATTCACAGTGTGGTATGCATACTTACAGTCTGGTATGGTGTTCCGGCTGTCAAAATTATACGACCTTCCCTGACTGCAATCTGAAAGTGAACCATGTTTGAACCGTGTTCTTTTACGTGTGGCTCAAACGATATAAACGTGTGGCTCAAACGATATAAAGAAACCTCTTGATTCAACTTTTATGGTGGTGTGCAGATAGATAGAAACTGCACAAAATCTACTTGTGACCAATGAGAGAGGATCATGTCATCTCACGATGCAATCAGACATTAACTAAATATGACTATCTTTTTGGTGGGTGTTGGAGCACGCTGACTTGAAACATAAAGACCTCTCACCTTTGCAGCTTCATCGTGCTCATCTGCATTGTCCAAAATCTTTGTGTCCACCCCACATGCCCTGAGCTGCCGACCCAGACCCTGTAACATGGTGTCACAGACCACAGAAAACTCCCCAGGACGTAGTGGCTGATTGGGTCCTTGTATCGAACTCTGTTCAAAGTGAGACAGCATGAAGACTGTTAGCGAATACAGCATATGTTCCTAGGGCCTTTTCTCCACACCTCCATTTTGTCTCTTGTCTTTTGCCTGATCTCATCAAGCTCTACAACCATTATCAAGCATATTGGTGGATCCTGGGGAGCCAATGGAGGCTGTGTCCCCCCAAAAGGATAAATTTGTAGTTCTTTTTTAATCAATCAGAAAAAATGTGGATAGGGGAAACCGTTTCACTTCTTTTCCTTCAAACAAGTGTGTAAAAAGCTCAAAACTTTAGTCTCCAACCTCAAAAAGGCAGTGGGTCCTTGTTCGGGGGGGGGGGCAAAATCACTCAATTTCTGTCACCTTGAAGCCTTGTGAGATGACTTTACTCCTGGGTTTCTTGGGTTCCTTGCTTTTGGATTTGGGTTGCTTGGCCATCCCAGACTGGTAGGCAGGCTCCATGTTGATGTCTAACCAAGCATCACGGACTTTGTCCTTCAGAAATGAGTAGATCTCTAGCAGGCAGAGGGCATCCAATGCTGTAAAGAGCACACAGAAAGGAATGTGTCTGGTTTGAAAAATATTTTAAAGATGACACCTCATGCATTCCCTGGACAGCCTCTCGTTCCTTGTCACTCTTTTCAAGGGAAAGCTCATTCAATATTTTATTTCTGCTGATCAGTAAATGAACCATCACACAACAGTATAGCTTCTTGCAAGCCCAAAAGTTAGAGAGTGTCTCAAAAATCGGGAATGTTCCCGTTCCATTGGATTGTTCCCACTGGAACGCTGGCGTTCCATTGATGCAGGCACGTTCCAGACTGTTCCAGGCAGCGTTCTGTTGGGAACGCGTGTTACCAGTGGAACGATCCCACTGTTACATTCGCAATCGGGAAGACAGATTTCCGGCATTCATTTTCTAGATCCTGTATCTGAAGCACGGCAGCTGGAGAGGAGCATATTGTGATTTACTCCTCATGAAGGTTACTTTTTCTCCTGTTTTCTTTTCCATATTCACCCTGGCATAGCTTCCCATGCAATGAATTGCAGAGTATACCTGGACACTATCAATTTTTTTGTGTTAATGTTCATGTCTGTACTCGCAAGTGTTTTATTCATCCTCGGGCTTGCGTGGTAGAGGGATTTATCATCGCAATGTTTCCATGCATAAGTAGTCTGTCATATCAGAAACACTTTGGAAACCTGACCTGTAATTGAAGGGGTGCAAGGTGAGGTCTTCAAATATCATGAAAAAGGTTGAAGGACACAACTAAGGCAATTAAGCTGGACGTTGGTATTGCAGCCTACAGCCCAGTGATACACACACAGGCATATACTCTGCATGCAGTCAGCACGTAGTGATTTTCACTTTTGTATCTCAAATTTTGCCACATCACATTTCCATCTTCAGTTTACTTCCAATTCTTATTCAAAATAAAAGCAAAGTCGTTTGTCATGGCAGGCTTCATTTCGGACATTGGCTAAGATTTGTACATGGGGGATATGAAGCTACCCGAATGGGGACATTCCGATGGGAATGCCAGTTCCTGTCGGACCGTTCTCACAAAGGAATACAGTGTTCCATGTGAAACTCCACGTTCCCAACGGAACGGCCGACCGTTCCAGAATGAGACCACTGCGTTCCGACTGTTCCAAATTATGAGTGGAAGACTTAAATGACACATTCAGATGAAACATTCACACAAAAGTTCTAGTGTGATTAAAATCTGCCAATGTGCTTGAATTTCCCTCAGTGGGAAAAAGAAATCCAAAACCAAAACAAATGGCATCTTTCAACCAAAAATAACCCTTCAGCTTGGACCAGATTATTCTGTCCAAAATTTCCAGCATCAGGAAGACTTACCTGCATACTGAAGTTGGGATGATCTCAGAGGACGCTTCTCCCAATCAGAGAGCTGCTCCTTCTTGTCCAAAGCTCGGCCGAAACACATCAGGGTTAACTCGCTCAAGCCCTTCACGGAAGAACTACTGGGGTCTGTCTCTGATGCTTCTGGTCGCTTCAGGAAGTCTGGCTCAGCTTTCAGAATCTGCATGTAAAATGTTTCAAAAAAGAAATCTGTATTGGTGCATAAACACATGAGTTCTGCTGGCACTGAGAGTGTGATTTTTTGAATGTTCAAAATGTTATTGTGCATATCTCAACTAACATAAGTGCTGTACTTATTGTAACAACTCAGAAATGAAGATATCCCGACCTCCGTGGAATTACAAAATAACCAAATCTGCACATGCTTAATTTCCTTGGCAAAGGGGCACTCTCAAGATGTGTAACCAGCAGCCAACATATCAATGAAGCAAATGAAATGCAAAAACAAAAAACTTATGGAAAGATTTCTCTTAGGGAAGTAATGTGAAATCACTAGTACCACCACATTGGCAGGGATATCTTGTCCCAACCTGTGTAAGCAGATAGCTATACATGTACAATCCACCAACACTTCGTAAGGCCCAATCATTTTCATTACGTCTTCTCCAGCTGTGTGGTATTTTGATATGCAGGAACAAAAGATGGCATGCTTTCACATTGTAAAGATGGTCCTTTGGTGGGAACTCAAGGCGTGCGTGCACAGGCTTATGCGTGTTTGTCAATGGATGTACACGACCGCTTTCCATCAGATAGTGTGGTCTCCACACATGCACCAAGTACACTGTCGAAACAATTCCCACCAGCCTGTCTCTTCTTTGCTGGTGAGGGGAGGTTCTTCAGTGGGGGTTGATTCAGCAGACAGATTGGCAATTTTATAGCTTTACATACACATAAATGTGGAGACATCAACCTCCTCAAAGCTTCTGATATGGTATCATTTGCTAACTGCCATGTGCACTGCTTATTCTACTGTCACTCTCTGACCAGCCTCCGGGATGAATACTCATGGAATGCCATGGCTATTCATTCATTCTTGGATATTCAAAACAGTACTCAGATGTCATAAGGGAAGCTAGATGCCCTTCTCAGACATCTACATGTATATATTCCAGTGAAACAGGCTGTGTTCAGACTACTAAAAAGTGCCCCATGGTGAGGCAGACGGTTGATACGCCCTGCCCAAATGTTACTCACCTGCTCAGTCAGGGAGCACAGATCCACCAGTCTCTGGACTGCCGAAACTGCCCCTTTGAGGCTGGGGTAAGACTTGGTTAGCATCTGGAAATCACCGCTGATGCCATAGCCTGCACCAGACAAGGCCAGACAAAAAGAGATCAAATCAAACAGGGCCATTCCCTAAGCCTGAGGGGGCGGGTGGAGACATACAGGGAATCAATGGACTCATCTTGCTCCAAGTTCTATTTTCTTGGTAGTAAGGAATACTTGGATCTGGAGTTCTAACGGGTGACAAGTCGGTGTTGATGAAAAACTGCATGAAAACAAACAGTTGTTTTCATTGGCTGACACAAACCAACTTGTGCTAACTGAAAAACTTGCTTTTCGGGATTTTTCTTTTTTAATCGACAGACCTTGTGCGTAGTGGCCATCTTCAAGGTAAACTCCTGTCATTCAACTGATATGACAATGCAAACTCAAACAGTTTCCTCAGGTCTGAGATAACAAACACTTTTGCCTTGAAGATGACTACTGCCCTCAAGATCAATAAGCAGTGAAAACCACCATGTGCAAGTGAAGCAAACACAGAATTTCTTACAAACTAATGCACTTCCTTGCCTCTCAAACTCTACTGGTGACCAACAATCAGTTTCACTTCAAATCTTACCGAGCTTGAGAGCCCGAGAGCTTGAAAGGAAGCTGTGGAAGAAGATTACCACCATATCAGCCTCGCTTGCCATCAGTGCTGGCATATCAAGTAGGTAGATCCGGCTGAAGGTGGCCAGCTGAACAATAGCAACCCTAGAAAGATTGGAGAGGGAAAATAGGATAGACTCAGCCTTTCTATGAGTGGCAAGACGAGACCCTTGTGGGAAGCTAAAATGGCCTCAATGTACAAGAAAACAAGGCCACTTTGCTACCTGGTAAAGATGTCCTTTTTCAGTCTCCACAATGCTAACCAACAGTTTACACCTTACCAGTTGATACATTAGTCTCAATTTAGATTAGATTAAACTGGATGGATTTACTGGACTACAGGTAACACCAACCACCGGCCTGAGAGTTGGAGTCGGGCAAGAGAGATGTCAGGAGGCTGGAGAGGACACACAGATGTGAGCAAACATTTTGCAGAGAGCAATTGGACACTGACCTTGTGGTTTGGGTTGCAGTAAAGCAAGGTGTCCACTCCATGTCTATACCAATAAGCTTGTCCTCCTACACCAATTCAGGCACAAAACAATAAACAGATTTCAAAAGAGAAGATAAACTTTTGGCAAACTTTGTACACATACCTGAAGTTCCCTAGAATGCGATTTTGTATCTGTTTGCTGGACCCATCTGAGGAATGTCTTCAAACTATTTGTGACCCACTCCACGGAAATGAGTCACAAGGCCATTTCTTATAATTTATTTCATTTTTGTTTAATTTTATTTAAACCATCTTTACTGAGGGTAACCCATCCAGCAGAAGCTGATCATTTGGGACCCTCATTAAAAAAAGAAAACAAAATACATCAAGATCGTAATATGAACATTACCACAAATATAAAAATATATCAGAGTCGTCTGCAGAAAAAAATTCCTTGTTCTTAAAAAAACCTGAAAATTTATATTCAAAATCCAGTAGAGAATCAAAGAGCGGAAAAAACAGTTTATATAAAGGGGGAAAAATAGGTATAGATACAAGGGAAAAGACATAAAGAAAACACTGAGAGAACATTGAGTGCCCCCTACCTCCTCCAAGAATTAATATTAACCATCCAAACATGCAAGTACAAATAAACCGGCAGAGTACAAAATTAATACATGTACCTCAGACTCAAATTCTTTTCTCTTTCAGCAGGCACCAAAAGAGAAATTTTGTTTCAGTTTACAAAGAGAGCCCGCTCAGTTCTTTGTTTTTATGTATCACTCATTGTTGGCATCCTGACGAAAAAGGACATTAAGTGAATGAAAAACGTAGATGGTTCCCATAGCTCCATATGATGCAAAATGCCTTTGAAGGCCTCTTGCTCAAAAGTGACTCTGGCAACTTGTGACTTGTTTTCACACGGTGAAAATACGGTTGAAGAGTGGTCATACGATAACATTTTTACAAGTCACTCAACACTTCATTCACAGCACTACCTGAATTCCTACCTGAGTTATGTGCCTCTCACACACTTCGAGTAAATGAAAGTTATCGACCATGACAATGCTCCCAAGGGGCAGGTTAAGTTGATAGAACGGCACCTGGGGTGTCAGTGCATCAACATCCCAGTTGTCTGGCTCATCAGAGGGAGGAGGACTGGCAACAACAACAGCAAAAGCATTAAGCAGATTAGTGAATCCATAGCTCCAAACTTAGTTGTTGCAAAAGAGGGAGGAAATCTGATGCAGGTAATTTCAAATTGAAAAAAAATTGGTTTCTAATACAAGTCCTACGGGAATCTGTCTTGGATACTTGATTTCCAATATCACTGTCACTTTGACTTTGTCCGTTTGATGACTGAGGTCTTCCATACATTTTGACATTTATATCACATAAATTGGATATCTGTTTGCATGAGATCCTAGATCTTCCACACAGTGTTATATGGCCATATGACATGTGGCCTAGTGGTTAGGGTTTGTAGCTTCTGATCATAGGGTCCGGGGGTTCAAATCCAGCTGGTGGCAGCATGTTGTGATCCTGGGCAAGTCACTTTACCCCTATGTACCTCTCTCCACCCAGGAGTAAATGGGTACCCGTGAGGGCAGACTAGCTTATGTTTAGCTGTTAGCACCGAAATGGCAGCACTGGGCTAGTATACTTCTCAGGGAGCAGAGATGGTTTCAGGAATGTTCAGATGTGAGCCCAGTGTGCAGGGATTATGATAACACAGCACCTCGGAATAGTTTACTAAATGGCGTTTAACGCCTTCGCGCTGGGAAGCGGTAAGAGACGCCGTAAAAATTGAGATCCCTCAGCTTTTCAGCTATTATTCTCAGCCCACCCTCGAGCGAACACGGTGAAAGAAGGCAAACCCTGGCTCTTGTATATATGGTGATTGGCCTTTGTGTGTTGCCAAGAAATAAAAAAAGGCCGAATTTGCATCATAATCACCAGCTTCACAATAGTCCCCACTTTGAAAAGAGGCAACAGGAATGTGGAAGCGTGAATAGAGCCGCATGCCACCGAACAATGAGCACGCATGGCCACAAACCGAGAATTTGTGGTTTGGCAGGTGGCCTTTCGGGCCAAGCGAGGCTAGAATTCTCGGAGTCGGCTTTCAGAAAAAAAATCCCGGTGTCAAGGGGTTACCAAATGTGTGTTATTATTATTTTTATTTATGGTAGATTTTTTTTATTAACCATACATGAAATTGAGGGTTTATTATAGGATAATGTGAATACTGGTTACATAACATGACACAGACTTGTTAGGTATCAAGTACAGCAGTTATTATATGTCTCACTCCTAAGGCTGAATCAATTCCAATAATGCACTATTCAAATATTCGCCCTTCAATTTGAACAAATATTCGAATATTCAGTCACACCGACCAGCAGATTGTTGAACAAACCATACACAAAATCAGTTGCAATAATACACACACTTGTACATTATGACCAATATCATAGCTTCTCACTTCTAGGAGTATCTCCAGCCATGATTTAGCAAGATTGAAGAGAACAAGACTTTTTGCCCTGTTGAAAATTTCTATTCCTTTTAAACAACGAATAACTTACTTTTTAAATCGTTGTAAGATTTCTGACGCTTTTCATTTGAATCTACTTGAAGCAAGCCTCCATAGTGCAATTTTTCTCATTTAATACATAAAATTTTCCCTTGCTATTCATGAATTTTGCATTCGAATATTCAAATTTGTAAAATAATATTTGAATATTAGACAATCGATCAAACATTCGGCTATTCAGATATTTTGCACAGCCCTCCTCTTTCCATAGGTTCTCTGAAACCAAAATGTGATTACCATGCATTGTGCATCTCAATCGCTCCTGCAACGTCGGCTGCGAGTTTGCTCTGATCAATCCCATAATGCACTGCCCACTTAGCAGCAGCTGGCGGGTCATTGTACTCCATCAGCAGGTTGATAAACTCTTCCTGCAGGGCCGTGTTGTCTCGGATCGTGTTGCAAATCAGCTCATCCCAGTTCTCAGCATCCAAAGTTTGCTTCATTTCAAAAAAATGAAAAGGTGGATGCTTTTAAGCATGGAGTTATCTAGATACACTGCATCAGAGTCCAGCGACTAAAATTCTGAAAAACTTGGCTAAGTTGTAATACTCAGAATAATAGAACTGTTCTCGACCAACTCAAGCCGTGTAACCCAAAGTTGCCATCCTTCTAAACTGTTGAGGTTTCTGTTTGTAAAATGCACCAACAGAAATGGAAAACAGGTGTAAAATGGCTCACATTTCAACTGAGCACTGAGCAGCCCTTGACATAACCCTAACCCCCTAAGGTGTATGTAAAATCGTATTGAAATTGGAGGATTTGGAAGTGTTAGGGATAAAGGAGCATAAGAAATTGGCACAAAAATGAAAATGCATATATGTGGCCTGGAGACACTCGGTTGTGTTGCCATTTGTGGGGGCCACTTCCAGAGACGTGTAGATGAATGCCTGCATGGACATTTTCATCTGAAACGTGCATTATTTATAGTTTATCAGATAAAATGACCATGAAAATTAATGATGTAACAAGCAGCCTTTCCAATGGCACATACTGTACGCATTCTGTTAAGAAACATACCACACATCATGCATAGGGTGGAATTGATACAGAAAGCGCTCACAGGTCATTAGCATTTACTTTGATATCTGTCAAGGATACAGCAACTGTGACCTCTCATTTAAAGTTTCACCCACTTTTGATAGACAAATAGGGTTAAATACTCAAAAAGCTTCTGATGTTTAGCTGTCATTTCACCCCATTATGCATCCCTTGTCACTTAAGTTCCCCAACCGTTTGAGGAATAACAATGATACAGAAAATTTTAAACGAGCGGGTATCTGCCAAAAATGACGCTCATGGCACAATACAAATGTAAATCAAGTAAAATTAACAAGAAATAATATACCTATCCCTGAACATGTGTGTTTTAAGAGAAACCTTGAAGTCAAGTGGGTAAGTCTTATTCACTTGAAATTTTTAACACTGATGCTTCTACCCTGAAAGGCACTAAGGCAGCCAGCAGGTATGAGGAATGACCGGCGTACTCTGTGATCCACTGGTGGTCTATGCTTTACCTCAATATACTTCTTATACAACAGGAACCGGACAGCTGCTAGATCTCTGTGGAAGCTGGTGTTTGGACAAATGGCGAGGTCTAGCTTAAACAGCTTTGCCAGCCGCACAATTAGCTTGCTTAGATTCTTTGGGCGCAATTTCTCCTTCCTTACTCCTGGAACATCCAAGTTGCTGCATAGAAAAAAACAAGAAAAAGTGTTGAAACATACAAATACCCCATCACCACGACTACGCACAAGCATGCACACCCATGTTAGCATTGCATGTCTTCTGTGCGGATCTATTGTTTTGTGCACACAAAAACTTGGTGAAAACACTCCTTTTTCTTGCAATGTGAACATTACTGACCCTGGATCTTTGACTGTTCCTCTTCCTTTTGTTACCAGTAACCCTTACTCCAACATGCCTCTTAAACCTATTTTTCTGAGAGGAAGAAACCTTGTGTAGACACGGGCAAGTCCACACAATGTCTCCTTTATTTCCTGCATCATGTGGGCATCTTTTGTTTCCATATTCACACAAGGAACGGTACACTTGTACACACAGTGAAATAGACAAAGCAGGAACAATATGCCCATTTGGCTTCACCAGGCTTAAAAATAAGACATCAAAATGTTGCTTACTTTAGATAATCAGAGTAGGCAAGACAGAGCATGTGTAAGTGCATTTCATTATCACTGCGGAAAGACACACATACTGAACAAGGGGACTTCACATCCTAAGTGGTTCGTCTTCAATCTTTTACTCATAACTGTCCTCTTAAGTATGAGTGCGCTAATTAGTCTAGGGAGAGTGTTACAAAGCACACATAGTGCCTTGTCCTGAGGTACAGTAACACATGACTGTGTGCACACTGGGTCTTACACATAAAGTGAGGAGCACACACGCCAACAAGTTTCATCGGAATGTGCACACATCCCTGGGATTTGTGCCTAGGCACTGGGTGTTCAGCAGCTAATTTGTTCAACAAATTTTTGTCCTTGTCACTGTATATAGACTAATCCGACCGGACGCCACAACTGCGGTGGCACCACACTCACGCGCACATTCTTCAGCTTGACGCGCGCGTGCATTTGGCAAATCATGATACCCTATTGATCAAAGAGGCATGTGACACGTGCATATCACCTGTCCACGAGCGTCGTGCCACTGCAGTAATGGCTTCCAATTCTGGTGGTGGAATGATAGGAATGATAGGCCGTTGCTGCTAATTTGTTCTTCAAATGTTTGGTCAGTTTTGATCAAAGTTGTCCTGATGCAGTATTCAGGCAATTTACAGGTACACCACTGAACTTATCCACCCTTCTGTTACGTCCCAGAATTGGTGTCATTCCTAGCCAAAACAAGGGTGGATTTAAGGCCACCCTTCAGATGATGTTCATGCAAAAGATCTCACTTTTGTGTGGGAGAGGTCAAAAGCTGAAGGAAGACTGTGGGTATAGGTGTCAGGAGAGTCAAAGCCAAGTTTAACATGTCCACTCAAGTCCATGCAAACTCCTCGCGCACCTTCAGCAGTCCACCATAAATCTTTGGCAATTCACCACTAGTCCTCAGAGGTAACTCATTTCCAAACCAAGTCATACTTTACCCAAACAAACTGTGACTGAAGCAATCCTCCGTTACTGTCCATCCCGCATATACAGTAGGGATTTTACTTTCTGTTTTTTCAATGGTTGCTTGCCATGTTGAAGGAAATATAAGAGAGTACCAACCAACTTCAAGGAGGCTATTACTTCTGACCAGACTTGCAAATGGACCTGTGATTTACTCTGTGCTCAACACTATGAAGACTTCAATGTCAGACTCTTTGGTCTCATGATCTTACGCAATGACTTGTTGAAGATCAAAGTTCTTGGCACAGAAAGAATCTAGTCTCTGTAGCAGCTCCACCTGGGTCTTCTTGCTGTCCTGCATGTATTTCTCCACCAAATTCACTTTGTCTTGAAAAATCAGTGGCAGACAAATCTACAGAATAAAAAATAAAAATGAACCTGGAAGACGCTTCAAACCCCTGGGATGTCTGAAATGTTCCACTGCTTTGGTCAAGCCATCCGTAAAAAAAAAAACGAATTGCCAAAGTCCAGAAAATTTCAATGTGTCTTACTGCCATCCTCTCAGTCTTTCACGAAAAACTCAAACCTTGCCGAGCTTCAGCAATGTAAAACACAAACTGAAATATACCATACAAAAAAATGACCTGATGTTTTGATTCTAGCAGATTCTTTATCAAAGGCATCCCCTACACAGTGAACAACAGCTCACAACAACTAGAGCTGTACGGTACACACACTTGTTTGGGTTTAATCCTCAAACTAAATTACAGACTCTGCAATGACCGATCTACTTCTTACACCAACTACATTTGTAATTAGATGCAACCGAGCACCTTTTGCTTGCTGTGATGTTGCCCTTTCCAACTGGCACTTTTGGCTTTTTTGGTCCTACATTATAACTTTTATAAAGTGTCCATAATTCTGACATCTCTGAAACACATGCATGCATGCTTAGAACCTTCCATAATATTCCACAAATACTCCACAGTGCAAGGAACTAATAAGACATTCTATGTATTTGAGAAGTACTACGCGCTCTGGTCTACCTTCCTCAATCAAACACAATCCCCAAACCCTGACAGATTTTGAAGGATGTGGGAATGTTTAAAGTAAATACGGTACTTTTTTTTATCTTCCACTAAAAACTGACCTCTTCAATTTTGAAGCAGTGTTGAAGTTTAAGTTTATAGGCAGCCACTCCTGCCTGCAAAACAAGAGTTTGTATTCTGTAAGTGAAGAAGTTCTCTAGGATTTCTGAACACGCATGAAACACACAACAAAATTTACAAACAAGTTGATCGACTTTAATGTACAGAGAGTGGCAATGCTTGCCACGATTGTGTTATTTTAATTGTTAACAAACGCCTGTGCAGATACAGTCGAACACGCTTAATACAAGCTCCAAGGGACTCTCCAAAAAACCTTGTCTTACAGTAAACCTCATGTTATACGTGTTGACACTTATCCCATTCACAGAGCGCAAGCCTGGCACCATGCACTACCAAGCATTCATGTACACGGCAATATACATGTACTGCAGGCCTACATGCACTTTACAATGCAGTATATGCAGTGGATTAGTATTTGATGTACAGCCTTTAACTTGTTCATAGATTTTAAATCATATTAATAAATATGATTCGAATGAATAATACAATGATTCCGAATATGCCTACTTGTTTGACACAACAGTGGCTGGCTGGCTGCCCTGATGCACCGTGTGCACGCAGCGTTGCCAGGCACGTAAGGAAAGGTTTAATGAACTTGAAAACCAGTTCATATAAGGACCGGACATAAGAGGGCGTTGAAATTGGGGAATATCTGTTGGTTTGTAATTGGCAGGAAGGATCTGTTTTCAAGTCAGGTTCACCCATAATTGCTCATGTTCATCTAAAAAAAACAACCCCCCCCCCAAAAATTCTTTCGGACCAGACCCGCTGTGATCAAAACTCCTTTGATGCCGCGACATCACAACACCTATTGTCGTCTAGAAAAAAGCCCCCTCTAGTGGCACAAGGAACAGAGTCGTAAAACTGCAGTGCAAATTGCTGAGCAGATTAGCATTTTTGGAGAACTACACATTCTCTCAGGAATTACTTTACTGGGATTAAGCTTTTGAAGACGCTTTTCAATTGTACTCGTATTAAAAATGCCATGGACAATGGTTTTTGGCACTGCCGGCTAGGCAAAAGTGCTCGTCTTGTCCATGTTCTTGTCTTAGCATAGCTCATATAAGTTTTCTCTCATAGGAATGTGTACATTTTGAACGGGACTGAAGAAATATGCTCTTCTTAAGCGCAATCCTATCTTAAGCATGCTCGTGTTATTCGTGTTCAACTGTATGTACCAACGGATGATGAGTGTTAACAGATTGGAAAATGAACTGAATTTTCTTTTGTTTTTCAGTGACAATTCACAATTGGGAAACCAATTATGGTTAGTCTTACGTCATCATTTTGGCACAAGTTGTGGATAACACTGGAATATTCAATCTGTCAACCTGATGAAATTACTCTAACAGCTAATGTGACACTCATCAGGATTTATTATTTGTACATTATGTTATAGAATGTACATGTTACACAAGGGGGATTTACCTCTTTGAACTGCTTCCTTGCTAAGAGTATCCTGAGATGTGTGGCAAGATACTCATTTCCTTCACATTGGAGATGGTACAGGATGCATATCATGTCAAAGAGATTGAAGTGTGCGCTGGTGGCAAGCCGTAGAGCCTGCAATTTCATCCCATCTGTGATAATGCCGGACAAGTCCTGAAACAGACATGGAAGTCACATGCTTGTTAAGCTTATGAATACCGCTGATCCTGGAAGCTAAACGTAAAATTAAAATTTGCACGTAAAAATCTAAGATCTGTGGATGGGAAAGGAGAAGTGGATGAACCGCAGAGCCAACCTTGGGGCTAATTTGAGGAAGATTCTGTGAGGAATTCATACACTGCTGGAAATCTGGGTAGTTTTAACAAGCGTATCCACATTTGTTGACCAATCCATCAGCTATGTTCCATTCAGGACCAACATAAAAGACAAACTTGACCGCTTCCTTTAAGTGACACTTAAGACAAATCTACTTATGGGGAATTCTACTTGTCTTCCAGGGATGTGATTTTTAAACACTGAACCCCCACTAATGGAAAAACTCCCAATGAGCAATGAATAAGTCCTTATATCTTGCGGAGATTCCGGACCCAATCAGCACAATCCTCTGCCCAGTTTCTACTTTATTCCATCTGAATTTGAACACAGAACAAGTGTTAGAAAATGTTCCATAAATTGTGACCCAACCCAACAAAAAGAGTCACAGGTCGACTGAGCCATTTTTTTAGCTAATAACCTTTAAAAAAAATATTGCACAAAGGAAATTAATAGGAACCCTTTACACATTCATCCACATAATACCCATTAATTGTCCTCAAGATGCCAAACTAGATATTACGTCAATGCAAAGAACTCATCTCTATGAAATGAAAACTAAAATAGAATGACTCGAAAACAAAACCAGCCTTAAGACTCATTTTTCCGGGATCCAGTCACAACCGAACACAAGTCAAACCAAAACCAGCTTACATGAACAAACCTGACTGCATGTGCTCTCTCTCCCCATTGAACTGGTATGCATGAGAACACATGAATCGTCTCCCTCGGTCACAGCCGCAGAGCCAGGATTCTGAGTATGGGAGGGGCGCAAGCGGGGGGCTTCACGCTAAAGTTGGGGGGCTTCACGCTAAAGTTGGGGGGCTTCACGCTAAAGTTGGGGGGCTTCACGCTAAAGTTGGGGGGCTTCACGCTAAAGTTGGGGGGCTTCACGCTAAAGTTGGGGGGCTGACTGGATGTTGGACATATACATGTACATAATCGTGATCACATCAAGTGGGGGGGGCAGGCAACTGGGGGCGACATTATTTCACGGAAGGCATGTACCCCCCCCTTAGCCACGCCGCTGCTCCGCCAAGCCACAAACAACTTGGAAAACCTACCTTAGGTAGCCGCTGTCTTTTTTCCTGCACCCACCAAGAGAACTCTTGCAAAATGATGAGACCAAGAGATGATGGCTTCATGCGACGCAGATCTTGACTCTTGTCCAAGAGGTGAAGGACAAAGGCATGAAGGTCACGAGGTGCCACAGAGTTGAAGGCTCTGGCTATTTTCATTCAAAATAAATTATCAATATACAGTTGAGAAATAACTTTGTACAACGTGATATTGTCATCCGGTTTGGCAAGAAGAGGATTTCCCCCACCATGTATTTTGCCCGCATATACACTGTAGTATGTTTTTGATTGCAAGCAAGGACTGTTCAACCCTTACAAATCTTTAGGAATCCATCATATTTTTCAGGATTTTGCTGGATTAAGGAAAACAGAGTCCAAATACACTTAGTTTAAATGAAGCCCAATGTCCCTGAAAGCTCACGTACATGTACGTCTGTACACAAAAAATGTGTCATAAGAAACCAAATGTACCGGTACAAACATTGATGAAATGGGCAGATACACAGGGCTTGCCCTACTGTTGCTACCATATCATCCTGTGCACAGCCAAAGGAACTAAATCCATAGCAACCAAAATATAATATCCTTGGCAACCAAAGTACTACACACATTAGCAAATGTATTCTGGTGTGTGAACTGCACATATTCAAAAGTGCTAGCATTGGGATCGAACATTTTGTGAAGTGGCCGATTTGAAAAGTGTCAGCAATTTTCAACAACTTTTGTATTCAGTTAGAAGTATATTTTAATCAAAAATTTTTGTTAAAAAGGTGCAACAAAACAAACAACATCTTCTTCATCTCCTTCCCCTGGGCTTTGCTTCAAGAAAAAATAGAATGCTCCATGGATCACCCCACAGGGCTGGTTTTAAAATACCGCTTGAAGTGGACAAAATTTCAATATCACTCCTACTAGTAATACAGTTGGAACCAATGCTATTAGTCGCGAAATTGCGGACCACATCAAGGGAAACAACAGCTGTGCGATGGCAGTTTTCTCCTGGGCCTTACCTAATGACAGTGCAACCTCCTCTTTTGCCTCATTCTGCCAAAAATGCTCGATCTCGCAAAGCCACTGGTCCCAGACCACAGGTGCTGTTGAAATGCCAGCGGCAGACATGTCTGTGTGCTGCATGACTGTTGAATCTCCAGCAGAGGTTTTAAGCTGAATCACTGTGGTAGGAAAGTAGTACGCTCGAACACAATCATAAGGATATCATAAACGGACTCCAAGCACTACAGAATTCCATATCTGCCGTCATCCGTCGTGCCTCACCCGTCGTGCGTCGCCCATGGGTTTTTTTTGTCACGATTGCGCAGTGGTATTTTTAACTTTGACCCTTGATCGTTTCACATGTACATTTCCTTATTCGATCGATCCACCATGCCTGACTCTCATTTTAGCAATAGAACTAGAAGAAGTACATGTATTCGTTTTTGCATTTGCACCAAACTCCAAT